TAGTGTTTTTTGAAATAAAAATAATAATGAAATAAAAATAATAATATTCTTTCTCAAAATTAAATTTTCTCAAAGTTTACTTAACATTAATAACTTTTTTTATTTGTAATGGGTTACATTTCGTCTCCCTCATTAAATGTGTTCAAACTAAACTTCAATAGTTCTAGTATTTCTAAAAGTTGCATCTTGTTTCCCATATTAAATGCATTTAAGCTTTACTTCAAGTCTTGAACTAAATAATATAACATCAAAGCAATGTGAGAATAGGAACTTCAATTCTTGAACTAAATAATATAACATGAAAGTAATGTGAGAATAGGAACTTCAAGTCTTCAACTAAATAATATAACACGAAAGTAATGTGAGAATAGAAACTTCAAGTGTTCAACTAAATAATATAACATGAAAGTAATGTGAGAATAGGAACTTCAAGTGTTCAACTAAATAATATAACATGAAAGTAATTTGAGAATAGGAACTTCAATTCTTAAACTAGATAATATAACATGGAAGTAATGCAAGAATCGGAACTTCAAGTCTTCAACTAAATAATATAATGAAAGTAATGTGAGAATAGGAGCTTCAAGTGTTCAACTAAATAATATATAACATGAAAGTAATGTGAGCATGGGGAGAGCAAAAACCCTTTGATGTGTGCTCATTCATGAGTGAGCACGACATGTATGAGAGCGTGAGAGAATTTGAAGTTGTTGTACACAGCAATAAAATCAAAATTTAAAATACGGGTAATATGCTAAATTTTTTATTTTCTTATTTACTCATTTCCATCCTTCATTTCATGTTAATTTTTAAGAACTCTTACCAAGAATAAATAATACTAAAAAAATATGTTACGTCAAATTAATAATGTTTGGTAAATGGTATGGGTACTAAACTACTAACGTAATAATGTTTAATATGCGATCGGCACTGTCATTTCTTCAAGTTGAATAAGAGGACAAAAATGTTTTTCTTTAAGTAGAATAAGAAGATAATAAGGATATGTGCGAAGTTCCCTGTGTGGTGCTTTAGGTTAAATTAATCATTAAATATCATAGAAATTGACTAAAACTTGAATAACTCAAGTTTCAAAAGTCCAAAGACTCAAAACTACATTTAACAAAGAAGAATTACTATGTCATGTACTTGTTTTATAATTCAAAGAAAGGAGATAAAGGGTGCTCGCCCCTATTCTCACTCATTGTATGTCGTAGACTAGCTCTAGAGCTTGTAGGCATAATAGGGTTATCGGTAGACCGAGTCCATTGTATGGGATTGTCCACAGTACTTGGAGTCTTGGACTGAGTATATAGAGACCAAAATTTGATCTTGTAGTAATGGGTAAATTTAAATATTTTCTTAATACTTCTCTCATATACCGGAGGGAATTGGTTGGCAATTCTAGTACGGGGAGAACTCGATTCCAATATGGGAGAATCACGATTCCGGAATGGTGAGAATATTAATTCCAAGTTGATAAGGATTATGATTCTAGAAGTTTAGGAATCATGATTCCATATTTTTAGGAATCACAATTCTAATCTAATCGAATCACGATTCCAGCAACCACAGAAACAAGTGGGGTCATGTGTGATTCCATATAGGTATGAAACGCGATTCCGACATGAAAGGACATCGATTCTTGCAAATAGGAAACACGATTCCTAATTTTTTGAATCGCGATTCCGAAATAGTGAGAATCATTTTCTCAAATCCGAATCCTACGGACAGCGATTCCTAGATTCCGAAACTTTTGATACACGCGATTCCGCGATTCCAATTCTAGAAACGAATCAGAATGGCTGACGTTTTCAACAACTATAAGTTTGATAGTGATGTTAAGTGTTCACACATGTATGTCACTTTGTAAGTTGTAACTTTTGATTTTACATAGTAATTTCAAGGGTCTATGATGTGTATGTCACATTATTGTAACTTGTAACTTTTGAATTAATGTTAATGTTTTGGAGGATAATGTTTGTTTTGTCTATGAGATGGTGTGCTATGAGGTTTGGGCTAGTAAGATAACTTTGAGCATCTCAACTCCTTATATCATCTATATCTCACTCTACAGTTTTTCCTCCTTTTCTTAAACTATGGTAAATTCCCAAGATACATATCATCAAAGCATGAGAAATGAAGTCTAAAATTTGAATGAACTTCAGGTTCTGAAGCTAGGTTTACATGAAGTCATAAACTATGACTATGAGAGTGTGTATGTATGACCATAAAGGACCAAAATCGAATCGGGTTTTGAGATTCAACTATTCACCCATTGAAAATTTACATTCATGGTCCCTCACCTTAATGATACCATCTTGGCCCGCTAATGCACTCGGATCTCCTATGTGCCCAATGGTATTTGCAGGATGGAAGTCACGGATGACGGAACAAACGGATAGATCGTTTCCATCCTTTAGGGTTCGTCTACAATAGGAAAAAAGATCTTCATTTCAAAACCCACTTGAAATGAGAATCCTTATTAGATATGACTCACTGCTTATAATTTATAGAAACAAAGATCATAATTATAGAAGGCTACGATTAAAACATGCTTGAGACAAGAGTCCTACACTCCTACTTATGTGGAACGCGATCAAAATTGCTGATAAACAAGGATCTGATCCATAAGAATTACAATTAATACTTATTGAAAAGTGGAAAATCTTTAAATGGCTCGTCGTTGTCGTCATCCTTCCTCCTCCCTCCCATCTCCCCTTAGAATCTAAACCTTGCTCTGTTACCAAGTTAAGAAATATATGTGAGTTATGTCTACTCTAAACAGCAACTACCTTATGAAGGAAGAAAGATAGGAAGATAAGATGAATAGGAAGAAGAGAGATACGTATGTAAGAGAAAGAGATAGAAGAGAAAGAAAAGAGGGAGCCGCATGCAAGAAAGAGAGAGAGAAAGTCACATGACCCCTCTCTAGGTCATCCACATAAGCAAAAAATTATAAAACTGCCCTTGTGTGGGTTTATCACCCACACTTAGCCCTTCAATTTGTATCTCTAACCACTGTTTAATAAACCGTCTAGCACCTATCCGACCGCCTAGGCACCGGAAGGACTTTAGGGAATTTGCAGTTTGCTAGAGGTGGGTTAAGCAGTGAGCATTCTCCAAGAGCACAGCTCGCATGAACCCCATTTGTTTGTTTTCTTTTTGGGGGGTAGGGGGAAGGGGGTGGTGGCGGTAGTTCACTGGTAGGAATCACTGATAAGAGTCGAACTTAGGATGTACTGATGAACCCCACATCTACACGATTGGATTCTGAGTTTTTGGCTCATGCAGCGATCTTCATTGTCTGATGTGGGCTTAGAAGGTGGGGCTTGGGTAGGCTCTACTGGTAGTCCCCAGGCATGAACTTGAAAACTCATGGGGATATTTTATGTCTACTGATACTCCATGTTTTGAAAGGATAGTTTACAGAAATTTTCTGGACTATGAATACCTAAAGATACCGGTTTGGATGACGGTAACCACCGGACAAAGACATAACTGCTATAAATCTCAATATGATTGTTCATCATTCACAAATTGTATTATCAATTGAACAAGTACTGAAACGGTCATTGTTGACTCTGACATCAGTTCACAGATTAATACTCCAAGATGCATCTACTTTGCAGTAGCTCCAACAGGTTATCCATATCTCAGGCCTTCCTAGTTGCCTTTACACTCACAACAACAATTATACAGAACCTGCCCATAGTTTGAAGTCCAAAAACCAAATTTCACAAAATTCAAATGCAGTTTTTATTTACAAAGTTTCTGAGATTTTTTTTTCTCAAAGTGTTAAAGTGTTGTATTGAGTGAAGAAGATTACAAGAGAATCGGCCACCACAGGTCAGGTGCTCGATTAATAAAACCCCTAACAAGACTCAAAAATTACTATACATCCCATATATCAACAACAAAAATAGACACCAAAAAAGGATAATGTTTATAAGCCTCCTGCAATTTATGCATTAGAGTTTCAATCACGATACAGTCGTTCTTTCTAAGTTTTTTTGTTGGGGGTAAATAAAAGGAATCATTAAGGCATAAAAGCCGGTGGGGATTTCGCACCTATCTTTTGGTGAGAATGGAGTCCAAGATTTCATCCATGGGAGGCAATGGTACTACTGTCAAGACCCCAGCCCATTCTTTCTAAGTTACAATTCACATTGTGACACTCAAACAAGAAAAATGTGCATGAACTATGTTTCATAGATTCTTCACTCTAGGCTCCTTACCCCTGTCGCACAGGACTGAACACAACGCGGACACGATTGGACTTTCCATTCTGAGGAGTCTATCTTTTTATTTCATTTTTTTTGGAGAAATGTTGGCAATTTATTGGGAATGGTATTATTATAATAGCATTACAAAAATCTCCTCACGAGAAATGAGGAGAAACTACACACATGCCTGGTAGTCTGTACAACATCCTGAGGAATCTTGAAGAGAGGATTTTGTAGATACGTGACGAAGTGGAATTTGAAACGTCTGGATTCTTCTCATTATGTATTCGATTCTTCTCCCAAAAGAATCCTGTCATGTAATATTACAAAGCTTTGGAGATTTCCGGCCCTTTAGTTGTTTTGGTTAATTAAACTCATTCAATGTTGGATAGACAGTTTAAAATGGATGGATACTATTCTTTTACATTAATCCTCCCCAAGAGACCTGAAAGTCAAGATATTATAAAACTGAAAAATACATGCACATTATTAGTATTTAATCCATATAACACACGGCAAGGAGGAAACATGCTAAGAAAACATAATGTCACCCAGAATCCACATCCATTTCCATTGAATGCAAGTGGAATACAGCAGGATGTGAACTTCAGAATAACCAATATATGCGACGTATATAACATAGAGAAAACTATCAAATTACTAAGCTGCAAGAGAGATAATTTTTGGCAAATAAACATCTTGCATTACAAACTATAGATATTTGGAGAACTCTGGAGTCTGGATGGGGGTCATAGCAGAAGTATGACAAAATCATACCTGGATTACAAAAGTAAGGGAGGATGCTCCAAAATGGTTCTCTAGTTTTGCACCAATTTGCTTCGCTGCAAGCCACAAATCAGATGTCTCTTCCACAGAGAGATCCACAAACCGCTTCACCACCCTTTTTGGACAAACCAGCACATGTGTTCATAGTCAAGGCCAAAGACGAATAACCGAACGAAATAAGCACTCACCTCTCGAAACCACCATAGGAAAGACAAAACCCACATATACACACTCACACACAGACACACAACTGTACAAACATTACATTTTTTTAGTTTCATAAATAGAGCTGTTATTGTAAGGAAGAACAATAAATGCAAAACAGCCAGTCCAGGTTCATTCATGTCTGCCATTTCAGCAAATCCTTCCCTAAGCATATGATACCATGACCATCAGGTAAGCCTAAAACTTGGAAAATGTGAAATCCCAATCCATTTGAAGTAGGGCAGGATATGACCTACAAGTAATATTGCATATAAGGAAGAATCAGTCCCCAAAAATATTGAACAGGATTAGAATTTGTTTCATGTATGCCAGATCATATATTACATGCCAAAAAAAAAAAACAGAATAATACCATGCTAGAAGTCGACTTTCCTTTGCCTTAAAATTATTCCAAGTGTAAATAATTCACTTGAACATACTTCCATGCTAAAGTATAGCCCACTAATAGTTAAAAATTTAAAACCAATCAATCCTCACCAGGAACAACAGGCCTGATATTGACCAGTGCAAAAGACAACTTAGTAGTCAGGAACACCTGACGTTTGTCTATATTGTAGTCTCCAAAGATAAATGTTTCTTGATCCTGCTCCATAGTGAAGAACAAAACTGTCAGATATTTGCTAAGAGTGATTCCAATGTCACAAATGAGAAGAAACTATGCCAACGATGCATGCATATGATGCAGAACATCAAATATTATGGATAGAAAACAACATGGTTACAACATATACAACCACGTATTGAAATTTAAAACTATTACAGAAGTTTTATCTCTATTTCATTATAGAGAACTATTTTCTTTACTTGGCATAAAGCAGGTAACAACTTCTAGTCAGGAAAAACTAAGAAGTGAAAACACACAGAATTTTGGTAGATGGCCCAACTCCATGATGGCCACATTTCCTTTTAATCGACTACAATCACAAGCCTATGAATTAGCTCCTTTTGTAATTACATGCAGCAAGTCATGTACAAGTTTAATTCACAAAACAATGGTGTCTTCTTACCACCCAAACCTGAAGTGTGAGTATACATCAGAAATACATAGTTGAATTATCATATAAGAAATTTAATTAAGGAATAGTTGAATTATCATATAAGAAATTTAATTAAAGAATCTCAAGTCCTCATATTTGTTCCATTAAAGTTTTTGCAACTCTTGATTCTGCAGATCAGTGAAAAACCAATTTTTTTGAGTGAATTGTCAATTAGTTCATCTCGCCCCAACCTTATTAGCACTACAAAATTGGAGAATCCAATAAACTGTTTACTAGGTTAGGATCCTTAGCTCCACCAAAACCAGTTAAGGACTGTAAATAATCCAAAAACACGTAACAGGTTCCAAAACAAGCTTCGCAACTAAGATTTGAAAGTTAATGCAAATGTAAATGTCCTCAACAATCAAAATTAACAGTTACTTCCATCATCCAGCAAGCACGAGAAATTAGAATAAATACAAACTCTCAAGAATCACATAGATGTTTGTTATGGAAAGCATATATTGTGGATATGATATGGAAAGTGTATATTATGAAGAATGAGTATGGGAAGGGAAGGTACAATATCTTGTTTTATGGAGTGGGTATAATTTACGTGTCCACAATATCTTCCTATTCTTGTAATCCATTGTTGTATACACTTACAGGGTTTGAAAGTGGATATCCCAGCTCTTGGAGATATTGTATCTCAAGTGAAGTATGTATCAAGTCTCCTGACTTGGGCTGCTTTAACATACAACAACATAGTAGACACCCCTATGAGGGGAATCCAAGCTTGCCTCTAGATGGAGCATTGCTTTTCGATCCTACATGATACCGACAAATTGTTGGAGGCCTTGATTATTTAGCCATTAATCGTGCTGATATCAGTCACACCACTGACATAGTGAGTCAGTTCATGTACTGACCCTGCTCTGTTCACTATGTTGTTATGCAATGTTCGAACTTCAAAGTACTCTAATTCAGGGTTGCTCATGTCTTTTATCTCTGCTCTTGAACTTTGTGCATACTCAGATGTGAATTGAGCTGGAGATGTTATTGGTCATCGTTCTACTACTGGGTGTTTTATTTTCTGGGTACTTCACTTATCTCCTGGAAAAGTAAGAAATAGAAGGTTGTTGCTCACTCAAGTGTTGAAGATAAGTACCGGGCTCTTGAAAATATTGTGACTGACAATGTCTGGTTACAGTGGCTTCTTCAAGATATCGGTGGCATTCATTCTGATCCTCTTCCCATTTTTTGTTGTAACAAAATTGCGATTCAAAACGCTGATAATAATGTGTTCCATGAGCAGATAAAACATATTCAAATTGATTGTCAATTTGTTCACAGATTTTTTTTTTTTTAGCCTTTGTTTCTTTGAAGGAACAAGTAGCATGTCATCTCACAAAGGCTCATCCAACTAATTATTCTCACTAGTTATGGTCCAAACTCCAATTGCACTCTTTTAAAACATCTTGAGTTCGTGGGGGGTGTTATAGAAAGCATATATTATGAATATGGCTGTCGTGGAAAGTGTATATCATGGACAGTGTATACAAGAAGGATAGTTGTAGTATCTTGTACTTATGTGAGTACAGTGAACGTGTCAGATTTGCCATCCCATATTGCATATATAGAGAGAAGCACACACACAAATAAAGAGAGACAGATCTTCACATAAATCTGAGACTCTTTCATCATTCACAAGAGCACACCAAAACAATAAATATTAGCCTATATAACAAGAAATAAGTAGTGGAACCATTATTCAACTAAATCCTCCATCAACAAACTAGTAAGAGCAAAACAATCAAATGTCCATTGTTCAACATTTTGGTCGAGTCGACTCGAACTCTATTGAGTTTCTCAGACTCGACTCCTTACCAAGCCAAGCCAAGTACTCGGGTAAAACTCTAGGCTATATAAAAAAGGGATATTTATAAAATTACTATAAGAGATAAACCATCAACCATTTTACCCTTTGGCAGTTGTACCATATCATGATCATGTGTCTTGTGATGGGCATTTTGAAATTAAATCAAAAGACATGGGTAAAATATATTATTGTGGTTATTTTGATAAATTTCCCTATAAGAAAGAATGCACAATGATAAAATTGATGTTAAATTGTAAAATCAACATACAAATATTTTATATGAAATTTTAATGTCTTTGATGATGATTTGGGAGTGTTTCTTGTCATACATCCTGTTTTTATATTTCCTTTTCTTCTAGATTTTTCTAAAATGCCTCCAACTATAGATCATTTTTTTCTAAATCCATGTTTTACATTTTTTTCCATCTTATTTGGACATTTCATGTTGTTTTTATTTGGGAAAATTACAAAAACCTGCATTGACTCAACTTCCTTTACAACCTCCCCCAACCAATTTTTTTATGGCAACTTTTACCCCAAAACTATCTTTTATAACAAGTACTCTTATTTGGCCCATGTTGTTTTTATTTGGGAAAATTACAAAAACCCCCATTGACTCAACTTCCTTTACAACCTCCCCCAACCAATTTTTTTATAACAAACTTTACCCCAAAACTAACTTTTATAGCAAGTACCCCCAAACCAAAAAGTTATAGTTCTTTAGACCAAAATACCCTCCCCTTGGTAGTTGAATGCCGTCATTTGTTGTAAATGCGATCTCGTAGATTGTTGTTGCGGGTCCGGCAGTTATGATGCCTCGATCCGGCACTTGTAAATGTGGTCAGTGGTCCGGAAGATTGTTGTTGCGGTATACGCCATGATACCTCGGTCCAATATAAGTTGCATGTGGTCTGACACTAATATTCGCCACGCCATGATACCTCAGTCCAACATAAGTTGCATGCGGTCTAACACTAATATGTGCCGGACCGTCATTGGTGATTAAGCATATACGAGAACGCGCCTTGGGCAAGAGTTATTTTCGTATTCCAAACTATGACTTTTTGACTTCCGGGGCTCTTTTTATAAAAGTTAATTTTCGGGTAAAAGTTGCCTTAAAAATATTGGTCGGGGAAGGGGTAAAGAAACTCTTTTGTATTTTACTTTATTTTTATTTTTAAGAAATTTTTTATTTTTTCAGATTTATTTGCCCCATACACTATAGGGTATCCAGCCTAGGCCCTAAACAATCAAATTAGAGCATACCTTCAAATAGTATTAAGAAATGTGGTTTCAATATTGGAAATCTTTGTGATAGCCTTAAAATATATTTTTATATTTATTTATAAACTTTAAAGCTTAAAAACAGTGTAGATCAACTGATCTATGAAAACTTAAAAATCTTGAAAATTGATGCTCAAAAATAGGGTTACAAAATTCACTATTATCAAAACTTGAAATCTATTTTTTTTCTTAGGTCCATGCATCTTGATATCGAGATGATCAATTTGAACATTTTTGGGTATCAAAACATCCTCTTGAACATTTTTGGGCATCAAAACATCCTCTTCTAGTGAAACTTTTGAAGTAGGCTCAACTTTGATTGTTTAGAGCCTCGGCTCTATATAAACTTTTCTCTACACTATATGAAGGAGTACACTCGGACTCGCTCGACTAACGCAGCTCAGGTATGGCCCAAGTGCCGAACCGGAGACAAGCTCGTGAACGATGCCAATATCAATAAAACAGAAGCAATTCAGCTGCAGAAGAATGAAACCAGCCCAAATACTGAGTGAAAAAACAGAGAAACCGTCCATGGTAATTAAAAACTTATAAAGAAAAAGAAAAATCAACTCATAGGCAATGCAGATTGGTAAAGAGCTAGCAACAAAGATCTTAAAAAAACCCTAGCTTCTCAGTTTAGACAAGGATTTGAACCTGAGATTTTGCAGATACGTGGCAACTGCGCTGCATAGAGAGACCTCGAAACGAGAAAACCCTAGCCACGAGTGATTGCGTCTTTACAGGGAACGATATGAGATTCATACTGATTAAGAACCCAACGAGTTCTCGAATCTGGTAAAAGAAGATGCAGCGAAAAGAAGGGAGGGAACCGAAAAATGGGAGAAGCTCCAGAAAATTAACTAATAATAGATAAAACTGTCTAAAGAATTTATCACAGAGTACTGAAGGAGCCAACAAAAGAAAGAACATTAGTCGGTGAAGTCTCTAGAAGGTGCGAGACCTTACACTTCCGGAGCACCACTAAATTACTTCAGAAGATGCGGCTCAACCCTAATTATAAATTTTTGAAATTCAAAGACGGTACATCTCTATAAACATCTTGAAAATAAAAGGTCCAAGTAAATTATTACAAAATGTATTATTTTTAGGGCTTAAAATTTCTTTATGTCTATGTACCTCAAAGTCTACATGACCAAGTGGAAGGTTTTCCAACTTCATAATACTCTTTTCTATCAAATTTTTGAAATAACTCATGTTAATTTATAAAGTTGTAAATTTTATAATTTTTTTTATAATAAAATTAGGATAAAAGCGGCGATATAAATCAGGGAAAGCATGTAATGAGATCTTTAACCCTTCGAACCACGGTCAATTTCGTGTTGTCAAATTCGCTTCAATTCGGCCAAAGTGGCCAAAGTCTTCGGATTTTAAGTCTAGACTAAACCGAAGCGAAGCTTGGTGTTGTTGTTTCGATCAGATTCAAGCTGCTTCGGTTAAAATTGGGTCTACCTCGGGCCTGCCTCGACCGAAGCAAAAAAATATTTTTTATTTATTATTTTTTTAAAATTTTATTTTTAATTTTTTCAATATTTTTATATATTTAATATATAAATATTTAATTTATTCTTGTTAAATTTTTTAAAAAAGTGGGAGCCGATGACTACTCAAGGTCCAAAATATTATTTTGGAAAGCTAGACCTCAAGCAAAAAGCGCACCTTTCTTGTACTAATAGTACGCAATATCAATCATTGTAAGCGGTGTTTAGAAACCTGGATTGGATGGATGGTTCACCCCTCATAAAAATGGTTTGGATCATCAAGCTGCCCAAGAGAACAGGTCAATTAAAAAATAAAAATTAAAAAGTATAAAGCATAAAAATAATAAAAATAAAAATTTGGGAACAGGTGAATCACCTGATTCCCTATCAAAGAATCGACTGGTTCTGTGTAAACCTGGTGAATTCTGACTGCGAACCATATTGGCTTCACCAATTCCTAATGTGGATCGACGTTTTTTTTAACATTGATTATAGGGATATTTATGCCGCAGTTAGAATATTTTTTAATTAAATAAATAATATGTATTTTTTTATGAAAAGTATCAATACTCAAAAGTTCAAAAGATCTCAATTAATATAAAAAGGTTTTTTTTTTTTCCATTCTACTTAGGTACATCTTCAAAAAAAATATCTTCAAAATACCCGAATTGCTTTTATTGAAGATAAATAACTCTGAATAAATGAGGCATTTCAATAATTTGAACCATGCGAGACAAGCAAGCTTACTCCCATCATTTGGTTGCAGCCAATTAGGTGAATCAAATTACTAAATGCCCCTAATTTCAAGGCTTTGAATCCTAGACAAAAGCAAGTTAGGCATTTGAATGATATTTTACGAGGATATATATTATTTAATGTTAATTAAGATGTTTTGACCCCCTCAATGATTCACTCCTCACATGTTATTTTTTCATTTTACATTAATTTCAAGTCTCTTTTTTTTTCTTTTTTTCTTTTTTTTTTCCTTTTTTTTTTTTTGAGATTTTTATTGTGTTTTGATATTACCTCTTGTTTTGGATATACATTGATTGTGTTGGACCCAAGATATGCAAATGTTTCTTTTACATATTCTGGCTTTGATGGCTCAAGGTGGTTTGGATTTATTTTGGTGATCATCAAGGATATCCTAAAAAAAGTCTTATATAATCAAATATTTGTTGGGTTTATGTGGCCTTTAAAGGCCTTATGAGTGCTTGTAAAATGATATGATATAGTGGAACATGAACTCAGTGTGAGTAGGGTCCCTCGTGAACCATACTTAAGCAAACGATCTATGCTTAACGATCTAAGCCAATCGGTTGGGAAAAACCCATATTACCTGGGCTTAAAGAACAAACCGAAAGGGTTTATGGGTTAGCCTTGATGAAGTCGAAGAACATTCCCGGATGAGTAAGCCAAGGGACTATGTGACCCTTGTGTGTGATGGTGGCCTACTGAGATGGCAGCCAAAACCTCATCCATGTTCCATCACACGGCATGCATATTGATAGATCATTCGGAAAAGCCAGATATCCACCTTTGGGTGAAGCGTATGCATATGCGAGAGATACCCCTATGCACCATAAAGCTATGGTCGTATCAGGTCGTGGTGACATTGACTCGTCTCTAGGGGAGGACCTGTAATCCACAGACTGGGATTGCGACCCCTTGATTCATCGACCTGATTTTGGTAACCCGCTAATGAGCCCCTGCTTGGACTGTGGGTCATGAAAAACACTGGGTCGGTTCGATAAAGCTAGTGTGATCTGTAGTCCACATTTAAAGGGGGAGTACCCGGTTATTACATATTGGATTCCTAAACCAAATGGATCATTTACCCATCATATTAATTTAATTGTGTTCATTTTATTATTGAAATGATTTAATTTTATTATTTGAATTTTTATGAATCTCTCAATATTTTATTTGTGATTTTTGGACTTACAAAAAATACAGTTATTGTTCTTACAAAGTTATAAAAATTTAAATATATATTTTAAATTATTTTATTCAATTTTAAAAATACTATATTTTTTATAATATTCCATAAGGGCCCATAATGCACATGGGCCCACCATGTGGCATGGGCCCACATGTGCCACAAAAGAGTGGCACGCCCCATCCTCTTTGGATTATCTTGTTTGCTTTTAAGATAAAGTTAGTTTGATTTGTGGCATGTGGTCAAATCTTGGAAGGGATATATTGACCATGGCTTTATCTATTTTGTAGCAAGTTTGTTTTAAAGAGATATGGTCAATTTGAATTGATATGGATCTTATCTTATTTCTATTTGGTAGTATTATCTATTTGATATTATTTGACATATCCTTATGGAATATGTGACATGGATCGTGCAATTTTATAGAATGCATGATATTTATTTATTTAAATATATTGATGGGAAAATGGTTTAAGGAAAGGGGGATAATGGTCCAAGCACCTTCCATAACGTTGATGGCTCATCTATGGAATGGATGTCTCAGATCTCTCACCCCACAAGTCACCCTGGATTGACAGTCTATGTTCAATCTCACAAGACGAGGCAAGCCAAAGAAAATCTTAAGAAACCTTAATCTTATTCAAAGCCTATAAAAAAAGATTGTCTCTACAAAAAAAAATCTCTATACCTTATCTCTTGTAACTAATTCTCATCTTTCTCTGTCATATCCAAAAAATGGGGCATGCACCACTCTCTCATTTTTTATCTATCTCTCTCTCACATTGTGAAAGAACTTAAAGGTTTAGGTGATGGAGTTCTTCTCTCCTATATCTCAAATATGCATTTACGGTTAAGGGTTTTAGGGTTTAGCAAAAAGAGAATTCATCTCTCTCAAACTAGATTGCTAAGAGAATTCACCTAGGGTTTGAGTTTGTGATCAAAGGGACTCATGTTCTATTGGTGTGGCTTGGCCGAAATTTGCTTTCCCCATTCGAGATTGACGCTAGACC